CGCGCCTCACTCCGCTGCTTGAACTCTTTTGAATGACTCCCGAGCTGCTTTCTCGTCCCTCCCCTTCCCCTCCGACTTCGCACAAAGAGCGCCCCCATAACTTCCAGCCCCCAGACAAGTTTGTGTGTGTATGTGGGTGTTTTTTTTGTTGTTGTTGGTTTTGTTTTCTTTAAAAAACGTGTCTTACTAAATGCTGGCTTTACTTCACCAGCCTCTTCAGGTGTCTGTATTTCTTTTCTCGAATTCGAGGGCTACCTTTTTTTTCCCTTTCTATTTTTACTGATATATGGGATCCCCACCTTCCCAGCGACTCCCGTGCTCAGATTCGGAAGCTTAGTTGCTGTTGCTTTTCGGACTTTCATTTTCCCTCCCGTTTGACCACCGGAGAAAAAGCTACAGACGTTGTTTACAAACGAGAAGGCAGTCGACTCAGGGAAAATGCTGGGCACCGCAGGCCTGCAGGAGAGGAGAGCAGATGGGGTCCCTTAATTAGCTAAGTCCGTGTCCAGTAGCAGTGTTATTGTTTCCCATTTCCAGCTAAGTATCTGATCGTGTAGGCACGATTTTTGTTTTCAGGGCTCTACGCTACCCTGTTGGATCTAGTGTTCATTACTTTGGAGTTTTCCAGAGATGTTTACATCTGGATTAAAATTTCATGCCTGTTTTTTGACTTAAACTTACTTGGACTTGTTTTAATGTAGTCGTCTTACAGACTTCTAAGAGAAAAAAAAAGTCATACTTACATTTCTTTAGTGCATTGGACAGTTACTTTTTTTTAAAGACTGAGTTTAGACACTGACATGATTCTTGATGTCAAAATTATTGCAGCTGCTAATTTTTTTTTTGCCTTTCCAATGTATTTTTCAATAGATCTCTGCATACGCAAGGTGTAAGTGCAAGATGTAGGTTTGAAAGTATTATCATAATACTTGATATTTCCTCCACAAAAATAGAGATTTCACCAAGATATACCAATGAACTGTTGCAAACTTGGAATCCTCTGGAAATGCAAAGCTGAATATCGTATCATTGAATATGTTGCTATATAATTTTTAAATTATTCTTAGCTTTTTATAAGGAGGTCTTACAGCATACCACATTTGCGAAATGAATGAAATTTATTGTTTTATTAATTTACATGAGCTTTTAAAATGAAGTTTGTTTGAGGCACAATCGGAAATGCATTCCATTGCCTGATCTTGAAATATGAATAGGTTTCTATTCAGAAAACACACACACACACACACACACACACACACACACACGAAAATGACAGGAGCTTTGGAGTGGCTTCAGAATTATATAATGTTTGGCATCTTAATTTGCATTTTATAGACAGTTGGCATGAAAGACACGGCCTGAAAACATTTTTATGTGTATTAAAATATAACGTTTGGGAACTTTTAATAATAATAATCAGTTTTGACAATAACCAGGAAGCAAGTTAGAGAAATAGGAAATTTTAAATATGACTGTTTTAAAAATGGGACCAAAGTAAGGAAATATCTAAAGTCTTTAGTTTAAATAAACTAAAATGTAACCCAGAAAAAGAATAGTTTTTATTAAGTGTTACCTTATAGGTTGTCATATATACCCAGGGCATTTTTCTTAGTGTATTTGACTCCCATTTCTAATGCATTTGAACTGTATAATGTTTATTAAAATAATTGAGATTAATTATACCAGCACTTAAGATAAATGGTGATAAAATTTGCCTCACCAGGCACTTCCATCTATTCAAACATTTTATTATTTCATTGGGTCAAGAAACTAGTCTATAGTAACTAAATATTTATCAAACTTGCTGGTAGAACCAATTTTTTAAAAGCTTCTAAGTTTGAATTTATTTAAATTAAAAGGTCATTTAGTATGTAGATCTTAATGCTTCTCTGCCAAACTATTTTAAGTATTTAAATTGTAATTTATGTCCCAAGTCTGAAGATTTATGTTTAGTAGTTAAAAACTGCTACTTTGCCATATCTTGTCTCAGGAATACTTATTTCACTCTGAAAGTTACATGTTACCTACTTTTAATGAAATTGATGTTTATTTTGAAACATTTAACATTTTCAAATTATTTTTCAAATTATATTGCAGAATTTGCAGTACTTCAGTACTTGAACTGGAGTTGGATTATTGGTAACCTTTGGTTATAGGAAGACAAAACAAAGAAAATCTAAAACCACAGTACTTTGTCTTGTTAATTACTATAATATTTCTATGTAGTAATGTTTACACACGAACTTTGATGGCTAAAGACTTCAAAGTGTAAGGAAGAACATTTATTTACTGTAGTAAAAATTAAAATAGGCTATTTAGAAATATAAAATTAATTGACAATTTCTTTTTAAAATTTGAAAATGTAGTGGGAAACTTAATGAGCTAGTTTTATGAGGCCAAAGAAGTTAAAGTTTATTTTCAAGGAAACTGGATTAATTAAAACTATATGAAGAATCTCAAAATGAAAATGTTGGCAAATTTTATGGAATTCAGACCCAAATATTATCATACTAGTAAAGTTACCTTGTCAATTAATGGGGATTCAGCTCCATCAAAATGCCTGATAAAGTGCTGGGAATCTGAAGTTCCATTCTCAGCAGAATTTATTTAGTAGAGGTGACTTGCTCAAGTGATGTTGAAGTAGTTAGCCTTAAATTTATAGAGATTCATTTAAAGAAACATTTAGTGAGTACCTACTAAAGCCATATTGAAGGATATAAAAATGACAAATATGGTTTTTACTTTCTAGCAGAGAGTAAAACAGTAACATTTATTGATTATTTGCTGTATGTCAGACATTGCACTTGGTACGCTTATGTACCAGTACACCTTATTCTTTACAACAGTCCAGTAAGGTGGGTGGGTATTATTTCCATTTTACGGATCAAGAAATTAAGTTCAGGGATGCTCCACAGTCGCATTGTAACTTTGAGTTTGAATTCAGATCTATATGTTTGCCCACTACACTATTCTTTAAGCTGCCGCAGTTCTGTGGGTCCATAAATGTTTTGCATTCCAATGTGGTAGATGTGTAAACTAAAAATTGGCCAAACATAATTAACCAGAGTTAGCTTGAATACAAACTTCAGACTACTTGTTAAGTACCTCTATAACAAAGAGAAATGATTTTCACATTCTATTTGGTAGTCTGTAATTTGGCAGTGCTTTATTATGGTGAATAGGTATGATGTTCTACAAGGAATAACAGTACCACTAAGTTTTTGCAGGTTTTTTTCACTTAAAAATTATTGATTCTGATGAAAGTTGTTAAATGTTTGCCCAAAACTTTC